CCTAATAGAACCTTATAGAATCCTATAGAAACTAATAGAAACTAGTAGAATCTTCTAGAATCTTCTAGAATCTTCTACTTATAAATCAATCTAGTATAGTAAATTAGGTTCCTAATAAGTCTTTCTAGCTAGCTTATATAATATAGCTTATATAAGCCACGCTATCTCTAAATAGGAAAGCTATAGAAGCTTATCTTATCTAAAGAAAGTTCTACTTCCTTATATTCTCTAGTATAATCTAATGTATCCTATTATTTATTTCGATAGTAATAGGTATAAGAGCTATAACCTTACTTATAGTTAGCTAGTTATATGTATATAAATAAATCGCGGTAGCTTTATTAATATTAATAGAGATAGTAATACTATAATTATTATAGAGCCTCTTTATATTAGTGTAAAACACTTATTTAAATAGATTAGTAGTATATAGTACGCGCTAGATAATATATAGAGTTTCTATATATAGACTCTAAAACATCTAGCTATATTACTGTAGCTACCTCTTTTTACTATTAAAAATATATAGTTATATAAAGCTAGAAATCTAATTTATAGGAATCTATAGTTTATTAATATAATAGTAAAGCTAGCTATATATATAAAATATATAAGTGCTATATAGCTACTATATAAGCGTCTTATTAATATTCACGTTAAGGAAATAGAATATAAAGACGTTATTATAATAGTAAATATACTTATAGAACTTCTATATTAGAAGTATATATTACATTCGTTAGTTTATATTCTTTATCTCTATAAGTAGCTACTATAGCTCTTATAGATATTACTCTTCTAGAAGTATATATACCACACTATTTATATAGTAGCTAAATTATAAGTTCTTTTTTATTAAATTTCTCCTTCTCTTCTTAATCTAATATAGTGCCCTATAGTAATAGTAAGTATAAAAGATACGCTATAATATAAAGTAGTAATTAACCCTCTACTATAAAGATTCTCTAGCAATATTATTACGCGGCTTATAGATAATTTCTTTATAATTCTATATATAATAGAAGCTTATCTTTAGAACTAGCTTAGATATCGCGTGTATCTACTAGTTAGGGATTAGTATATATTACTATATAGAAGTTACCTTAATATCTTCTATAGCTAATTAACTTATACTCTTTTACTATAATTATATTATGCGAAGAGATAGCTTATAAGAGGTAATATAGTTACTAGAACCTATAAATAGTAGAGAAGAAAGAGTATAGCGTATATAAGAGTGTATAAAAGAATATATATAAAGGGTAGTAGAAGTTATAGATAAAGAGATATATCTAGTATAATACCTATAAGATATAATAGCGAGAGGAGACTCTATATATATTTACTATAAACTAATATAGATATTGTATAATTATAAGAGAATAAGAGAATTAATATTTAAGAATAAGCTCTCTATAAGAGCTATATAGATAATAGTAGGTAATACAGTTTAATTATAGGTATATAGGAAAGAAAGCTAGCTTATAGAAAGCTAAGATAGAGGAAAAGAATAAAGAGTCTATATATAGCTTACTCTTATCTACTATAAGCCTATATAAACGTTAAAAGATTATGAGAGAATATAAGAATTAGTATCTAAGAATAAGCTCTCTATAATAAAGATATTATTCTAGTCTTACTACTATAGCTAAATAGCCTATACACGTAATTACTTTTATTATACCTAGTTCTACTACTTCTATTACTTCTAATAGTTATAATAATACTATAATATATAGGCTTACTTACCTTTACTCTACTTTATTCACCTAGATATAATATTATAGTAGTAGGTAAGAGTATAAGTAGTAAGAATAAAAGAATTATAGTAATAATTATAACTACTAAGGCTAGTATATAGCTAGTATAAGACTTAAGCCTTAGCTAAAACTTTAAATCCCTAAGGCTTTTATACTAGTAGTTATAGAGCGCTATAAAGTAAGTATATTAAAAGTATAAGGCTAAGCTTAGACTTTATCTTAATACTTTTTATATTTTCGACCTATAGCGTTTATTATAGCATTATAAGCGTTTTTCCTATAGAAATTTTAGAGGTAGTTATAGTTTTCGCTAAGGCAGCGCATAGTGGAAAAACATATTTTATTAAGTATATTAATGAGTTATAACAATTCTCTGTTAGTATCTATGAAACTGGCATAAAATATCGCGGGGAACGCTAATAGCTTGGCTTGCGACAACCCTTTTGAAAACGGGAGGACCATGGCACCGAGCGATGTTGCGGGAAACCCGCACTTTGGCCGGCGGACACTGCGGGTATGGAGAAACGGCCACAGACGCGCAAAAGAACAGTCACGGTGGATGATACCTGATACCCTCTTGCTGTTTTGATGCATATCTGCCGTTCAGATGCTACGAGCCAGTGCTCGACATCCCGAGCACGTCTAAATCCTAATTCAATAACGCCCTGCTGCTCTCTACGCTCAAATGCTGTACCGGATGTCTCCCCGGTGCCGGACCCTCTCACTGTATATACAATCCACAACCATATGCTTTGGGCAAATGCCTCTAGCAACAGATGCTCACTCCAAGCTTGTAAGCTCGTCCAGCTCCCGGTCCTCTCCGCTTCTCCTCCTCCGCTCAATGGGGTCGCTGCGCATCTCTACCCCTGGACCAATCGATCGCGCGCTTCTGTGATTTGGGAATATCTGCAGTTTAAGTCAGAATGCGGTCATCTAGAATGAATGCTGTCCCGGGATCGCGAGAGAATGCACAGGAGCGGATGAGTGTCTTCGAAGAATACATGTCGCCAGGGTTTGCCATTGCCAACTCGCTCCCTGAAGGATGAAATGCCCAGTGTACCTTTGTGCCGGACCAGCCCAGCCTGAACGCAGCTTCATGCGCCAGAAGCTCTCCAAAGCCCAGCATCAAGCCGTTTATGAATGGCAGCAGCAGGTTGATCGCGGCGCCCCGAAGCAGACCCCATACTGTCGGCGGAGAGTACAATATCAGCGGCGAGCTCGATGAAGACGGCGGTGAGGATGAGAGCTCATGGTTGGCGTCATAGTTCTCGCTGTCGGAGGGGATGGTGATGGAGGAGTCGGAGAGGTTATTGCGGCCCTGCGGTGACTGAGAAGACATGGTGAGGATGGCGGGGACGGAATGCTGCGGGTACAGTTGGTTATTTCTCCCGTCTCCCGCTGCAGTGAATGGACAAGCTTGAAGCGGAATTGTCCACTGCTCACTCGGGTTGCTCGTTGCTCAGTGAGGTGCAGCTGCTGGCTGTTTGACGATGATGCAGCGGGCATTCAGTTCCGAAGCTCCGACAGCCGCGCGATCTTCAGTCAAGGCGCGGCATCCAGGCACAACGCCCAGGAAGCTGTGCATGTTGCAACTCCCGTCACGACAACTAACCAGCTACGAACGGCGATTCCGAACTTTGAGCAAGCCAACCAGCGTGTTTACTTGCTGTTGCCTGAGCCGCGCAGTTTCGCTTCGGCAGGCACCAACTACGCGTCCGCATTGCGCCCGCGCTTGCCCCGCTGACGTTGTCTCTGCAAGCTCGCCAACGAAGCTTCCTCCGTCAACCTTCACCAGCGAGTGATTTGCCACGTATCCGCCTCGTCCACAAGCACTTACAGGCCTCCGGCATCCTCACACTCCATCGAACACAACACTCTACGATATACCCGTCCGCAGCATATAAGCATACCAACAAGCCATCCGCTACTCGCCGGAACACTTCACTTTCCGAAACAATGGCGGAACCCACTGGCGCAGACCGTGACGCCGTCATTTCTCAGTTCTGCGATATAACCGGGACTACACCCGCTCGGGTAAGTTCCACAGAAGCTCCTCCATACAGGCGCTTGACTGTGTGCTAACAGGAGCTCTCACCAGGCGGAGGCCGTTCTATCAACAGCTGAATGGGACGTTGAAACGGCCATCTCACTGTTCTACTCTATGGCGGACGACGAACGGCCATATGAGGAACCAATACCCGGGCCGGAGGCAGATCTATCCCGACCCGTGCCCGATCCCAGCAGAGGCCGTACACTGGCTGGAGGTTCAGGCCCTTCCGCTTCGAGCTCATCGGCAAGCCAACCATCGGCAGCGCGCAACAAGCCGCAGGGTGGTCTTCGGACACTGAAGGATCTGCAGAACGATGCAGGCGGCCATGGACACGCCCACAACGATGATGACGATGATGATGACAATGACCAGGATTTCTTCACCGGCGGCGAGAAATCCGGCCTCGCCGTGCACAACCCAAAAACACCAAAGGAACACATGGACAGGATCGTGAAGAAGGCGAGAGAGTAAGTTGGGCCTGCCGCAACGTCTCACTAGTTCGCGCGGCCACTAACGGGTCTTCCAGACAGATGGATAATCCATCCCCTGAGAGCGATGACGAAGCACCAGTATCTCGCTTCCGTGGAGCCGGCCAGACACTCGGCGGCGACGACACTCCTAGCCACTTAATTCCAGATCCCGAGGCCGACCGACCGCGCTTCAGAGAACGCGCTCACCGTACCCTGAACTTGTGGAGAGACGGCTTCTCGGTGGACGACGGACCTCTCTACCGCTTCGACGACCCGGCCAATGCGGAGGCCCTCGCCATGATCCACCAGGGCAGGGCACCTCTGTCGCTGCTGAACGTCGAAGAGGGACAGCCAGTGGAGCTCATAGTTCACCCCCACACAGATCAGGACTATGTCCCGCCGAAGAGGAAGTACAAGCCTTTCTCAGGCTCAGGACAGCGTCTGGGCAGCCCCGTTCCAGGAGCCTCCTCGAGCGCGGCATCCGGCAGCGGCAGCAGAACAGCGCCAGCCGCTCCTACATCTGCAGGGCCGGCGGCGCCTCCCTCGGTCAACGTCAACGACTCTCAGCCAGTCGTGACGCTCCAGATCCGGCTGGGCGACGGCACCCAGCTGCGGTCCCGCTTCAACACCAGCCACACCGTCGGCGACGTCTACAGGTTCGTTGATGCGGCTAGTCCGGCGAGTATGCAGCGTGCGTACGACTTGATGACAACCTTTCCGAATAAGGTGCTTGGCGATAGGGGCGCGGTATTGGCCGATGTGCCTGAGCTCAAGCGCGGCGGCGTTGTGGTTCAGAAGTGGCAGTAGGCGCGGCGGGCGGCATTGATTGCGGGTGACTTACGGCTGTGGAACGCCGGAACGGATGTAGCATGCATTCAATGGTGTTGCGGGTCACAGGAAGGGGACTGCGGCGGCTTCTTTACCAAGGCTACATGGCTTGGATCTGAGAGGGACGAGCATGGGCATGCGCGGTAGAGGCACCAACTCTGGTAATATTATGAAATTGTCTAAAGTGCGACGACCCGTTAGGTCTCTCTTTTCGTGCTTGCCTTGGGCAGCATCACGGTCTTTCACCCCCCGCAGGAGCTTATGGGAATCGTGGATTGAACTGATCGGTGAATATTGAGGGTCTTCACTGCAGAGATCCGTGGCGGGATGCATGCGACCCTAGTGCAGAATGTACCCAGGCGGGGTCCCAAGCGTGCGTCGCCGCGGTGAGAGGTCACAAATGGTTTCAATGTGCGTGAAGGGTTAACCATTCAGATACGAAGGAGCCGGTGTTTACCGAGGAAGGGCACAGCAACCGGCTCACCAAAAAAACCGCACAATAACACTTCATGGAGAGGCGGGTTCAAAGCAGATACAGCGTATATAAGCCAAGAACGGACACTAGGGAGGTAGTCTAGCAATGTCCGAATACTCACATACAAGAAAGTGCGGTCTCAAGCGGGCAGTAACAGTGGTTGCCAGTTATTGTGCCCTTTGGTAAATACCGGCTCCTTCGTAGTGCGGAGAAGAATGAACATTAAGCACGAGCAGTTTGACGATCGATCCATTGAAGAGCTAAACTAGACTGCTAAGCACCTTCTGCTTTCTATCGTGTGGAATTGGTCTAGTTGCTCTACAATCAACAAGACCATGACATTGAACAAGCTGGAGCAAAAATGCGGCAGCGGACTTTTCACATGGCGCTTGATCGTTAAGGGTGACCGTTCCTGTGGCGTGCGCCAGTCTTTGGCCGACGCCGTCGGGACGCCAATCTCCCGCCGCCGGACCACGGTCTTTTTCCTGACGTCGAGCATTGCTGCATGATGCCTGCAAGACTTGCGTTGGGATCTGGTCGGTGAAAGATCGAGTTGCTGGAGAAAGCCATCACCTCTGGGTCCATAGTTATTGCAGCGTCACAGAGATGGCAGCTCCGAGACCAGTCAGTACCAAAGGCAGCGTCTCCGCTCGATGACCTGCAAGCCTGACCGTCATCCCCAGCCAGACATGCCAGAAACAAGACACCGAGCTGCTCCCCGTTCCCCATTCCCCATTCCCCACATTTGTCTCAAGACCCCTGGGACCTGCAGGCCAAGTTGAACCTCCACCTTATCAGTTGCTGACGCATTTTACGCCAAAGTCACGGCCCTGCACAGAACGGGCTCGCTGTAAACAACACCACTGGTGCGAGAGTGACACCCGCCACCCAGCCAGGATGTTTTCCGAAGCCACTTTCGCCCAGCACTCCTTCTCGCCCCCCTCTTGCCAAACCTCGCTGGAACAGTGAGTTGCCTCACCATTCAATTGCGCTACTCATCCGCGGAGCCTACAGCACTCGGGAAGTCATGAGTCGTACTCAGTCATGAAATCGACTTACAGCTTCTCACGGCTTATTGGTAAACCACCTTTAAGCAAACTCACCTGCAATTGACTCTCTTCTTTGTATTTTTCTCGTCCCCTGCCCTTCTCGTACATGCCCCATATCGAGGCTCTCCTCCACCCGCCCTCTCCTGCATTAGTCTCGCTACGTGCATTAGCTTCCACATCTCTATCAGATAACGAACCAGCCTTCGTGCATGTTGGACCTAGCCGCTAGTCTCCAGAGTTGCGACAGACTGTACTATTACTTCGTGGTTCCAATGCTGGCCGCTCGCTCTTCACAACATGTTGATGCCGTCTACTCGGAGGCTGGCCCTGCTGTCGCTCATAACCTTCCTGATACTTCTTCTGGTCGTAAGACGCTCTGCTTACGAAGGCCACATCTCCTACCACCACCCATCCAACTTCTACCATCATAACACAGGTCAAGTCGAGCGGCCATCGGGCGCGCCATTGGCTGGCAGACCTCCGGTGTTAAATATTGAAGACGAACCTTGGGATCATCAATCATCCCCAACGGAGGATCACGAATACCTAGGAACACTCACAGCAGGTCCCAAGGTCCCCACTAGGTGGCTCGCCTCTCCAGATGACCAGCCATCAGATGCTTCTGAACAAGCCTCCGAGGCCGCACCTTTACCACAGGCCACGAACGTTAAGCAGTACCTGCAGGCAGTTCTCAAATGGACCCGCCCGAAGCAAGAAGACGGCCACTGGCCAAAGTACGGCTACTATGAAGATCGGGATTATGATCCAAATCGATGGTCCGTTCGTCCTCCAACCACCACGCGCATCGACTAACGGCATCATAGGGAAACGTTTCCAGTGTGCGTTATGCTATTCGACGATGGTCAAGTCTTTTGTAACTTTGCTTACAAGCATTCAGGGAAGAAGGCTTCTACACCGATAGCGGCATACGGCTCTTAGATAAATCGGCCTCCACATATCCCGAGCCGTACACACCGTTCCCGGACTATAACAGTGCCGACTGGCAGCAGCAATGGAGGGGCGAGTACCAGTTTTGCGAAGGGCCAAGAGGGCTGCCGCTCAACGAGAGCTCGCAAGATATTATACACGCCTACCGTGGACCTCCGGCAGGGTTTCCTGAGCCTTCCGCAGGCTCGTTTGAGGCAGTTGGCATTCACAACAATGTATGCTTCGACCGGTACTCGCGTTACGGTCCGTACGGCTTTCTCAATAAAGGCGTCGATGTATCCGGGTGGACAACGCCGGAGAAGGTATACTGGCGGGGTGTGAAATGGGGCGAGTTGCAGAATCGGTGTCTGGAAAGGAATAAGAATCGCTACGCAGAGCATGCCCGTTCTGCAACGGACACGAATCCCGGCATGGAGGTACCCCAGGACGTGTCAGTCTCGGACGCGCCGAAAGGGCTTATACGACCAAAAGAAACGAGAACTGCGGCATCCCCGTCCTACCGCTCCCGCACCGCTATCCTCATTCGGACATGGGAAGGCTACACCTATACCGACAACGATATGCAGGCCATACGCGCTCTAATCATGGAAACATCTCTGCTGTCTGGTGGCGAATATCAAGTTTTCCTCTTCCTCAATGTGAAAGACGAGAATGCGCACATTTACTCGGATGAGAAGACCTACACCGATTTCGTGAAAAAAGTCGTTCCCGCTGAATTTTGTTCCATTACGATTCTTTGGTCAGAAGAGATGTGCAAGAATTGGTATCCGGACATCACCGACTGGCAGGTGTACTGGCACCAGTGGATGCCGGTGCAGTGGTTCTCCGAGACGCATCCAGAGTTCGATTATGTCGTGAATTGGGAGACGTGAGTTTGCTTTTCTAACAAAAGATGACGACCATTACATGTCAGAAACTGACTAATCGTCCTGCTGTCCAGGGACGCCCGCTACACAGGTCACCACTACCAGTTCCTCGAGTCCATCGCCGATTTTGGCCGCAAACAGCCCCGCAAGTACCTCTGGGAACGCAACAAGCGCTTTTACCTCCCCGCCGTCCATGGTAGCTACGATCAGTTCTTTGAAGACACCAACGCCATTGTCGCCAACGCCTCTGCCTTGTCGCAGATCACACCCGTCTGGGGTGCCCAGCCCTATTTGCCGGTCCAGACACCGCTCGGCCCCGAACCGCCCACCACTCAAGACGCCGACAGCTTCAGCTGGGGCGTCTCCGAAGAAGCCGACCTGATAACACTCTTACCGATATGGGACCCCCGCAACACCAGCTGGTCCATGAAAGACAAGATCTGGAATTTCGTTCCAGATTTCCTTAACACAGGCCGCACCCGGCACCCCATCTTCACCCCCTCGCAACCCACCCACGATGATTTCACCGACCCTCGCTTCGTGAACATAGACCGCCGCATCTTCATCAACACCGTTGCCCGCTTTTCACGCAAGCTCTTGCACGCAATGCACATCGAGAACCGCGCTGGCCGCACGATGCAGGCCGAGATGTGGCCCGCCACCGTCGCGCTGCATCACGGCCTCAAGGCTGTCTTTGCGCCTCATCCCATTTACTTCGATCGCCGCTGGCCGGGCGAGTACGCGGATCTGGTCTTCAACCCCCGTGGTGAGACGTCTGTGTCTCCGTCGCCTGAACTCTCCTCGTCTTCGGATGTCGATCCGCGCGTCCTCGCCAACGATGGCGGCGGCGACGACGGGTTTGCGACCGCGTGGGCTGAAAGACAAGACTCGCCTTACAACCATGACCGCGAATACAACTTCTGGGGCTGGAGTTGGTACTACAAATCGCGGTTTGGCGGAAGATTGTACAGGCGGTGGTTGGGCTGGAAGGTGGTTGTGCATCCGTTTGGGTACAAAGGGCAAGAGGTCGGTGGAGAGGAGTGGGAAAAGGAGCATGGTGGGAGGATGTGTTTGCCACCGATGCTGCTCCATCCTGTTAAGGGGATGAGGGAAGGGGAGGTATGGGATGAGTGGGTTGTGCAGTAGGTCGTGCGTGAAAAAAAAACCAGTGTACAGCGGAGTCGTTGGCGTGTTAGTTAGATAGAAGGCTGGGTGACCGCGGCTACTAATTTGGCTTTTCTTTCTGGTTTCCCTCGGACTGAGGGCACATTTGGTATTTCTAGGTATAAGATATCCCCTAGGATGACACTGCTATCGGCCTCATGGTAGAGACCGTGCATTGCAAGCTCTCAACCATGTAACAACAGGACCCACTTTCTGTCCATCACCACCAGCGATCCCTATAAAAACCTCTTCCGCACCTAGAAGCTCGCGGACGGGCGCCTGCACGAGTACTTGGAGGTTGATGATTACCAAGCCCGACAGATCTACTCGAGGGCTTGGGGCCTTGCAGTATAGAGGTCGGTTCGAACTTAAGACAAAGCGCCGCTTGTTCAAAACAGCGTCCATAGGTTCAGGTAAAAGTTTTCGGCTACAGATCTGGGTTGAGTGGCGTTTGATTCCCCCCTCGACACGGTATACTCACTCTTGTCCACAGCAATTCGCTGTCCGAACACCATAGTATCAGAAGGTCCTCACGCAGATCACCTCCCATTGATTAAACAGATAGCATGTGGCCGTCAGAAACCGGACATGACCCGCAAAGGGTACTTTAGTCACCACTATCAACTACCCTGGCAGCCTGGCTTCGCCGCTTAGATGAAATAATCTAGACTAAGAAAGAGAAGCAATAACACCAGCGCCTTTAGATAGTACGCTGTGTGATTCGATAGCAAATAGTAGATAGAGGCGGAGCTCGCCAGATATAATGTGCTAGCATATTTCATACTCACTACTCTTATGTTAACAGGCTCATTCATACTCTAGCGGTTGAAGTACGTATTCGCGGTTACCGAAGCATATAGGCTTTGCCGCTTTTCATAGGCTAAAGCGTAACTACACTAGAACGTATATAGGCACGTTTTATCGCGAACCTTCGGATACAATCAGGTAATGAAATAAGTACTATCCTGTCAACTAAAACTCTTGCAGACCCTTAACAGCCTCGCCCTACCGGATAGCAAATTGTTCGGGAAACGCCTTGAGATATTTCTCGCTACCAGGATCGACATACCAGGGCCGATCAAGGCCTGCTTGCAAAAGTGACGTCGAATCCAGGCGCCACAAGTTTTTCTGAAACCGGTCATCACTTTCGTAATTGAGCCCTGAATGGCTAGTCTGAGAGAGTTCCTCGTCTGGTAAGGAAGCAGCAGCGTACTGCACTGCTCGACCACGATCCAAAACTTCAATGAGAGAGCATTAGCGACCATCCCGTCCAGCACCTTGAATAGCGTTCTCACCGGGATTCAGAATCAACTCGCCCGCCATGATAGAACGTACGTAAGTCCCGCCGACGAACTCGTAATGTTCCGTAGTGCGCCGTAGGATAACGGGCTGGTCGCACCCGGCAAGCAAACATAAATTGTCGCCTAGAACAATGCTCTGCCGGCCCATTCCCATGAAGCCTTGAGATGTGACGAAAAAGTAGCGCGTACCACTAGGAAAGGACGAACCCTGTTTTAGGGCTTGGATCACTGGTAGCATATAGCTAATCGTTCGCTTCGGCTCAGACTCTTCTGGTTGAAATTCTTCAGGCACAGCAGCGCGACCCTGCAGGGTTTCCCAAAGTCTGCCGAGTCTGTTCTCGTCTAGTTGTGGGATAATAAAGGTCTTAGGATCCCCTGTGGCACCCCACTCGGGCACTCCTTCTGGCTCCAAGATACGGTCACCTATTAGCAGAACGCGCCACAAGGTAGAGATTTGCTCCGTACAGGCATGGTCTCGAAGGGACGGCTGGGCCTTCTTCAACGCTTGCAGAACCGAAAACTCAAGATTCCTAAGGCTTGAGACAAGCCTCGGCCAATTCACATCGTTGGCCTGGCCAACGTCCCACTCATATGGAAACGGTCGTACCAATACGAGGCTATCGATGAGACGTCCTTGAACGCTGAGGGTATCTCCATCATCAGAGAAGTGGTATTTAGCAATAGAGCCAGCGGATGCTTGATTTTCGTCTAACTCTATATCCAAGTCATCAAGGCCCCTTGCCGTGGAAGAAGTGGTGGATGCTGAGAAGTCAGGACACCAGGACGGAAGTCGACAACCTCCCTTAGGCCTTTCGAGCAATATGATGTTCAGGGTGTTGTGCGTGCTGATAATATGTCTAACGGCCTGGGCATATACTTCATGCACTGGTCTAGCGTAGTCTGGGAGGAGTTTCTGGTCCCCCTCGCGTGACATACCTAGAAGACTGTAGACCATGTCCCGTGGATCAGTTGCCTGGAAATCGCCATCTCCAATCCCTGGGCCTAATAAGAAAGCAAGACTTTTCCTGTTGCCGGCTTGAATGCTCAACCGGAGGACCATAAGCTGGTATATGTTGTTCTTCGCAGGAGACAGCCCAACAGTCTGGTTATGAAAGTGCACGAAATGCTCCCAGCTGAGAACCCGGGATCCACAGATCAGGCTCACATCCTTCGCCATTGCAAGCTCTTGTATTATCCATACCCTCGTCCACCATGGATATTGTAACACTGATGGTAAAGCGGCCCAGGCTCTCGTGAACCAAGGTAGCTTGCGGACATCATCGAAATCCGATGTAAGGCCAACCGCTTCGATCAAATCCATAGCCAGGTCACTGTCATCCATAGCCTCTCCCAGCCAGACATGCACGTACGACGCAGACTCGTAAATGCGTTGCATGTGCCGGACTTGCTGGTTCCGTTCCGTAATATCATCTTGATTGATGCAGAGAGCATCAACCCACAATAAGCCGGCACGTTCTTCTAGTTCCTCGCGCAAGCGCTGTAGGGCTGTCCATAGATTGACCGTCACTCTTCTCGCGCATCCATCAAGGATTATCGTGCGAGGATCCCTCGTACTGCCCCAGGTGTATGATAGAGCGTTGTATGGGTTAGGGTTAGGGTTTGGGTTTGGGTTAGGGTTAGGGTTAGGGTTAGGGTTAGGGTTAGGGTTAGGGTTAGGGTTAGGGTTAGGGTTAGGGTTAGGGTTAGGGTTAGGGTTAGGGTTAGG